TTGGAATAGCTCACTTGATGTACTGTCCCTCCTTATGCTAAAATGACACTGTTGACTCATCCTCCATAGCTCATGCGCATGGTTTAACTTGTTTTTCCAGTAACAGTAATGAGCTAAGCTGCTCTAATATTGAAATGATTTGCATTCCCACAACTGAAAAAAACTGGAAGTGCCTACGTATATAGTATATATGTCCAAGTCTGTCTGCTTTGACCTTGTAACCCAAGTCTCATTCCTCTTTATAATTTGCTCTCCAGAGTCTCCATGCAAATGATGACTGTTCCGTTCTATTTCATTACAAAAATGGAAATTCCTCTAATAACCAATGTATCACTGTGTTAGCTAATTCCAATAGTCCTGGGTTTCAACACTTTGACATGGAATGCACTCATCTTTTCTTATATTTGGCTGCATGTCCTGCTCAATGTTGGGTGATACTGCCCTGGCATGCTACCAGTGTCATTCACTACAACTCCCAGGAGTCTGGGACATTCTCTTTTCTGCTGCTCTGCCATTTATAGCTTGGGTTCTAGGTAAGGCTGAAAGAATTTTTTTTTTAATCAGTAAACACTCACCAAGCCCTAGCTTGGATTATGAGCTAGTTAGTTACCATAACGGTGGGAAGGGTGGGCTTAATGACATCAAACAAGGGTTTTACTCACAAGGACCCAGACCAAGGGGAAGGTTGTTAACTCTCTTTATTCAAAATCAAAATCAGTATTCTTTCTCAAGGAGAGATTCAATCCAATTTATCTACATACATTAACTGCATCTTTTCTACTCCAGAAACACAGTCTTTCAGTTCAATTCAAAAACTATTCTGGCCAGGCAATGGTGGTTCATGCCTATAATCCTAGCTACTCAGGAGGCAGGTATCAGGAGAACTGCAGTTGGAAGCCAGCCTGGGCAAACAGTTCTCGAGACCCTACCTTGAAAATACCGAAAATGGGGCCAACAGAGTGCTCAAGTGGTAGAACACCTGCCCAAACCCCAGTACTACCCAAAAAAAAAAAACAAAAAACAAAAAAAATTATTCTGCAAAGGGACATTAAAAACACTGGGAATAAAAGATAATTTATTTAATTAAAGAACTAGTATCTTTGACAGTAAACTCTTCAACATACATTCTGGATCAATGGTCTGCAAAGACAGATACATGTATTCCAGATGTGGGGAAGGAGAAAGACCATTCATTGGGGTCCTGGAAGAAGTTTCAGAACATCTACATATTTACAGTCTAAAAAACATGTGATTAAGTCTTACTAAGGTTAACATATATGGCTTATTAGTTATACATTTATATAGTTTACATATACTGATTTACTTACTTGAAAGATGGGTCTATGCTCATAAAAGAGTATTTTTCAAAGTTTAAGGGTACCTGCTTCATCATCACATTAGCAAACTAGGATACACAACCATTCCATCCTGAACACACCCAATGTGTCTGGTCTCATAAGTAAACAGGGTCAGGCCTGGCCAGTGGATGGGAGAGAACATGGTATGCCCAAGAAAATCGGAGACTGAATAAACCTAGTACATCTTCCTGGCATCTCTATTCCACTCACTCAAATTCACTCAGGCTTCTCTGTAATCAGGTGCTCTGTAAGACAACTCTGGTGAAACATGTCTTAGGATGGAAAAGCCACAAAATAATGCCTAGATTCTATATTTGGCTCTCTATCACCAAGCTATCTAACCAAGGGCCAATCAGTTCATTCTTCCAGACCTCTTAGGGTTCTTCTCATTCCAAGTTTATGATTCATAAGTTTGGTTGTTTTTTTCCCCTGGTCCTTATTTGCTTCAGGCCCCAGTACATGTCATTCTTCTAACCAGAATATACTAGCCATTCCTCCCAACCAACCAACCTCAGCCCCTTGCCTCCCTCCCTGATGGGGCCTTGACTTTATATTCCCCCAGCATCCATGCACTGTGTATGGTGCCAAAGGGCACTTGCTGGAAGGGTTTGTAAGTATTCTCAAATTACTTCCAGTGTCCTCACTACTTCTGAACACATTGTAAGCTCTTTTGTATACAGGTCCTGGGCCATATTGTATATAGGGAACCTGATCACCTCATCTAGCCAGTAAGCTCCAGCCCTACCTAATCCAAATCAGCAACATACTAATTTAAAGGGAAAAAGTAACAGGAACAAAAATTATATGTCTAATGAGAGACATAACAAAAGAAAAATGAGACTGAGCCATCTCCCAGGTAAGCCAGGCTATAATTCAGGAGCTCTCAACTCAGGAGGAACAAAATGAGGAAGAGGGAACAGCATAGAGAAGTGCTAACTCAGTGATAGTACACCCCACTCACCCCAAACAGCTAAGTTCATGTCCTAGCCATGGTCACTCTGCCAAAATAATTAGTAGTTACATGAGTTAATATATGAAACATATGTACACTCTGCTCCACTAGTTAATATATGTTCACTCCTTTAAGTATACCAGAACTCCGGGGAGAAATGTTACATCTTTATCTGCAATCACTGGGGTTCTGTTGGCAGAATTTTTACCTACTCAGAGCAAATTGAGGTTCAACTTCCCTTTTCAGGTTCTGTCAATGTCCCTAAAGGTTCCATAGTATATTTCCCATCACATGAAAGGTAAGATTCAATACCCAGGCTTTACAGTGTACTTTTAAGGAAGCAGCATGGTGTGAGGGATAAAGCAGTGAACTAGGTTAATGAGGGAGATATCTTGTCATTGTGTGGACACTCTCTACTTTCATGCTCTTGAAAAGTTACTTTTCTAAGTCCTAAATTTTCTTCAGTAAGAATTATCCTTTACATCACAATGCAATGTCTATGTAGCATCTATTTCTTGAAACAAAAATTTCAAGAAATAAAGCTTATCCTTACTATGTGATATTCTATAATGTACTCCATTTTCCCCCCAAAAGTACTGTTTGAGGCCTACCAAAATGACTCCATGACCCACAAATAGACACAAATCTGCAGTTTAAAAACACTGGACTGGAGTCTGGTAGAAAAGAGTGTAGCCTTACAATAACACCACTTCTAGCAATATAATCTTGGGTCAATTACCAATTACCAATTACCAATTACCTTTTCTGAGTTCATCATCTTTTAGACTGAGATTAAAACACGAGATTAAATGAAGTAATGCATCTAAAGCATTAGCCACACTGTGTCTGACAGAGAATATACACTCAATAAAAAGTTATGCTGATGACTAATATCAATGTCATTATTATAAAATGCAAGGACTCCAAAAGAAAGCAAAATGAGTAAAAGGGCACCAGGTGAAATAACAGGCTCACCTGTAAGTATCAATAACCAACAGGACTGATAGATACCAGGTTCATCCTGGCCTATGCTCACTGAAGTCCCACAAAGGGGTTTTTCAATGCTTGCTTCAAAATATCCCCAGCAACTCTAACAGCACCCAGGACCTTGTGGGCACTCACATATTTGTTAAATGAACGCTCCTGAGCTCACCTCTATGCACTGGAAAAGAGACACCAGCTAACTGTTCTAACATTCTGCACAGGGACACACTCCTAGAAGGAGTGCAGAATGAACTTGGTATATGAGTATTTTTTTAATCTAAGTATATTTCCTGGACTCACACTGTCTCACACAAGACTTCTGGAAGACAGGTTGAGAGTGCTTCCTCAAACTCTACATAGTTCTCAAAAAAAATAAACAAGATCCCACGGTCAACTAATGCACAATACCTTGGCACCAAAGCCATAATGGCACTGCTCCACCAATACTCACCTTGTGTGTGACGGTTTGCCAAAATGAGATCTTATTAAGCATCTATTTTGTGCACTTCAAAAATAAGGCAGCCAAACCAGACATGATGGTATTCACCAGTAATCCCAGATACATAAGAAGTGGAGAGGGGAAGAAGACAGTCTGAGACCAACCTGAGCAAAAAAAGTTAGCAAGACCCTATCTTGAAAATCAAGCATAATGATGCACACCTCTAATCCCAGCTACACAGGAGGCAGAGGTTGGCAGATCAAAGTCTTTTATTTCAGCTGAAGTAAAAGAATGAACTATCTGAAAAATAAATTAAAGCAAAAGGACTAGGGACATAGTAGAAGAGCACCTGCCTACAAGGCCCTGAATTCAAAACCAGTACACCAAAAGAAAGAGAAGGCAGGTAAATGTTAAAACTCCTAAATTAAGATTGGTAATATTTTGATAAATCAAAGAACACATTTGCATCACTAGCCTGAGTCTACTCTTACACAAAGACACGGAAAAACTTGGTAACTTCTCTGAAACCCCAATTTCCCAAAAGGCATCTTAGTCAGAAGTCCTGGACTGCTTCAGACTCTAGTGAGAAACAAGATTTAGAGAAAAAACAATGGTTTTTATCAAGAAGCAGGAAAATATATGTTCTTTCCACTCAAGAAAGGGATTCTAACATACTTTTCAAGGGCAAATGGCACCTTTAAAAATGCAATTCCATATTTCTGCCAATAAAATTATGACCCACTTACATACACAGGAACAGACAGAGGACGTGGCTCTGCTCCTCCTAACTCGCCCTCACACCTATAGAGCAACTCTGTATAAGGTCTCACAGGGTCCCTGCCTCATCTCCATAGAAGACCCTAATGCACAGGTAAGTGCTTTACTCATTTTACGTATTATTTTCTCAACATTTTTTCCTGTGATCTGATTCTTCCCTCCCACTCAGTGACCTAAATGAATTACATTAAAAAAGTGCACACAGGTAGTTTAAGAGTGCTGACAAAAGTATAAAGTAAAAAGGATGCTGAATATTTTCATACATATAAGCAGCACAATGCCAATAGAGGTGAAGGCTCCCAAATGACAAAAAAATGACAGAAAAAATGAGCTGAAAAAACATGCTATGTAAGAAGAGAAAATAATGAGAAACAAGAAGGAGAATGAATTATTTCAAAACTTCACAAAAGGGTATGTTTAAAGAGAATTTGGGAACGGGGGCGGGGGTGGGGGCGTGAGGGAAGAACTGCTTTCATCAGGTATGACTTACCCTTTGATATGGGTGTACTGCCTTTTCATGTGGCCCCAAAAAAATAGTTGAGCCATTATTGCTGTTGATAATGACGAGCAGATGCTGATGAGATGATTGCACATCAACATTTCTCAGACTCCGGTCTTGTGTAATTGGGTGTGTCAATCTATGTCACTCCACAGATGGTTATTAAGCTAGTTACAACTTCCCTAAATCCTTTCAGAAGACCTAAGCAGCATTTCTGGGCAGCTCTTCTCTGCCAGCTGAGAATAGGCACAATTATAAAAAAGATTCTGAAAAAACAGTTCCGAAGTCTAATGCAGCTCTTCTCTGCCAGCTGAGAATAGGCACAATTATAAAAAAGATTCTGAAAAAACAGTTCCGAAGTCTAATGCTCCTCCCTACACCTACACACACACACACACACACACACACGCACACACACGCACACACACGCACACACACACACGCACACATGCACACACACGCACACACACACACACACACACACACATGCACACACACAATTCATTCTCTCTCTCTCTAAAATCCAGGATGTTTAATTTCAAATTCAGATGTCCAAATTTTCAAACTTGAAATTTTAAACTTTAGCCAAGTTATAGATATTCGTTTAATGCAATTAGGTCACAAGTCTAATAATGTCAATCTATATTAAATAAAATATATTAATTTAGCCTCAATTTTCTCTTTTTTCTGAAACAGGATCTCATTATATAGCCCAAACTGGCCCCCTATAAGGTTTCCTGG